CGTTTGGTCTAGCCGAAAACCCACAAGCTACTTTTGATGGAAATTGGCAGAGTTGTCTGTCTGTCTGATTGCTGCTACGTTTGTGGCCTTAATGAAGCTAACGACAATCTGCGGACAAGATGCAGTCCAGCCGGCTGTCCCGCGTCCTCCGCACGCCGGCTTCCACGTCGGAGCCACTTGCCAAATATGCAGCGACAAGTCCTCGCTAAATGCTATCCAGATTAATAAGTCCCAGCCGTGTGGGTGATGTGGAGCGAAAGATACGATAGTAAAAGTCAAAAGTCACTCCGAGCTAGACGTTCTGGGCGATACGCCTGCCAGTACCTTGAAAAAATATACCTTTAAAACACATAACTTTACGTTTTATTGCATACATATTTCTTTTATTTTATAATATATACCTTTATAAACTATGTTCTTTTTATTCCCCAAGAGAATAGTAGTCTCCACATGTGCTGGACTGTTTCTCAGAGTGCACAGGCCCCCAGGCCTTCGACTTTGTGGCTTCCAAATTTGGCAAAGGCAATATTTTGTTCGTTTGGCAGGCCGTTAGAGATTTGCAAAAAGGTAAAACTGCAAAACTGTAAAATGCATTTCGGCCTGCCTTAAATGGAGCGGGAAAAGCCAGCAGAACGCACGATAACGAAAGAAAAGTGCAAACACTGTTGCATTTCCCGCTCCGAGTGCGCAAATTTGCCTTTCAATGCCCTGACCAACTATCCCAGAGCGGTGGCCCAACAATGGGCGCCCGTGGAAAAGTGGCAACTGGGAGGAAATCTGCTCGCCCCGATAATCGACCGGCGCATGATTTTAAGTGGAAAGTATACCATAGTATTCGCCAATAATTGCAGAATGGCGAATATGAGTTTTTCCTTCGTTCTGAATTTCCCATGGAAGAGCTGCCACGCAATTTCCGTAATGAGCAATCACTTTTGGGCCTTATTTATTCAGTAGTTTCACACTCTCGATTGCCCAGTCAGTGTAATTAAGTGGTACTTGGCTGGAGCTTAAGAAAACTGTAAATAATATTTAACAAAGCTCATTAAAATTATTATTTTATGGTGCGGACAATGGCACTTCTATATTACAACTTTTGATTGTAACCCCCACGGAATGGTAGCACCCATTTTTGGGCACTCCATGAAAGTTCTCCGGAGGACTGCATTTTATGCATGCGACCCCAAAAGGTCGTCTTGGCCATCGCTGGATATTTTGACGAGAGGCTCGGACCTGCCGAAGATTGGGCTCATAAATTGCAATTGGGAAAGGAGGGGGCTCGAACTGGAAGCTGGTTCGGATTCAGTGTGGCCCACAGTGGCTTGGCAGCTGGCTGTTGGCTGTTGGCTTGGATTGACTGCTCCGTCATTAGCTTGATTGAATCTTATTGTAGGCAATTAACCTTCGCTGTGATGGGGCCTCTGAGGGTCGATCTATGGGGGCTGTGATCCCGACATTCTGCCCCACGAATGCAGCAAATAACTTTATTTTCGACAGCTACAAGGCATATAATGTCATCTATCCGGGCTGCACTAATTGCCTGCGACAAGTAGCTTTCAATTAATTAGCCAACGCCAACGGACTAGGCCAATATGCAAAATCCATACCCAGACGAGATACACAAGCTTCAAACTAGCATTTGAGTCTGCACGAAAGGAAAACGTCAGGTTTTGGCTTTGAAAATAGAGAAATTTACTTTGGTAAAATGGTAAAATAAAGTGGAAATAGTGGTTATTTGATAGTGTTAGTTTTAAAACTTATACAAACTTATTTTACATCAAAAATCAATTGTGAATGTCGACTTCTGGGATTAAAAATCTGTTCATATAGGCGCGTTACATATGAAACTATTGAACTTTATAAATCACTTACCATGTGTTTAAAATATATCTAGCACTTTGAGGGCTTATTATTTCTTATATTCTACCTTGTACCTTAACTTGCCCCACTGTCCAGTGACAATGTTGTGGGACCAACGATTTGTCAGCCTGCGGTTTCTTTTTCTCGATGTGGCTCATTTAAGACCTCACTTCCTACTTACGTTTGAATATGCGCTGTTGCAATTGCTGCAGCATTTCCATTTCCATTTCGGCTGTGTTTATTTACTTAGCCAACTCCTTAGCCGCCCCTCCCTGCCAGATGCCCCTCCCGGGCGGCCTCGTCGGCATCTGCTTAGCCGTTTTCCATCTAAATTGCATGCAGCGCCTTTGTCATGACATGACAGCAGCCTAATTCATCATTATGGCTGCACAGGACCGACTGCATCGGGGATCGGGAATCGTACTTGGAGACTGGGGAGTCGGGAGTCGGGAATCGGGGCACGGTTGGCGAATTGAGAGAGTTTTGTCGCGACTTTCGCTAGACGTTTCTGCATGAGATGCTGAGTTAGTTGCAGCCTGGCTTGTTGCAAGTTGCAAGTATGCATCTGAGCTGCGATCTCAACGTGATTCATTCATGCGCAGTAGTTGGATTTTTCGCTTGCATGCAGCTGGCAAACGAAGATGATAATAATGATGATACATGCGCCCGGGCTTAGGAGTTGGATGCATTTAATGGGCGAGGGGCTGGGATTGGGAAACCAGGGAAACCAGGGAAACTGCACCAAAGCGGGAAACTGGGAAGCCAGGAGAGCAGTGGGAGTGGGAGAGGAGGCACTGCACTTTAGAAGGCAAAAGTGCACCGTCGATAGGCTGATGATTCGCCTGTCGACATTCAACGAGCCAGGCCAAGACGACGACATTATCGGGGATGTCAGTGGCAGCTTTGCAGGGCATGGCAGGGGCAGGGGCAGTTATTTGTACGGTTTATTATCTCCGCACAATATCGCACATTGTGGGGGCTTGTCGAAGTTGCATAGGAAAGTTATTGAAAGCCAAAGCCCCTCGAAGTGAAACTTCTGAGACGAGGCACACACTCGAATTCTGCAAGAAGCGTGAGTCTTGGCATTTACGCAGAATTTGAAGAGGTTCAAATGGTGGCAAAAAACTGAAATAGAGACGTGGTTGAACCCCAAAAGCACCAGGAACTAGTTCGTAGACAAGGTTGCTTCCATTCCTAATCAAGTTGGTTGGGACTTTAGTTTTAAGGTATTAGGTTTTGATATTCCACATATAAAAACTCCACTATAATGAGTTTTATAAAATTGTTGTGTCTTAACACTCTTGTGTAAAAATGAGGTCTTTTTTCCAAAGCAATGACGAGACTGATGACAAAATTATGAAACGCTACCAAGTTAAGCTGCAAAAGATGATAGACTACTGTTCAATGCAAGAAAATGAAATTAGGATGTTCTTAAAACGCCCTCACTTGGCCAAGAAGCTATTGGAAGACGAAAATGAAAGACTTAAATTGTCTTTGGTAATAATGGACAAATATGATCGTAAGGATTTTATACGATATATTTTTTTCAAAATTTCAGAAATAATCGATGAACCCCTGAAGGTAAATAGGGTATCATCATGGTCAAGAACAGACGAAAGAGACTTTCAATGTTTTCAGTTCTTATAGTAACTCAGGGTACATTGAAATATATTAGTATTTAACCATCAAGGTTCTTTATTTAAAAACCTTCTACGTCTTAATTCTTATAAAAATATGAATATTTGTTTACCCAGAACAAACGTTGTAACCCCAATTGGCTTTGCCTCCGTTTTGCCCCAGCGAGTCCAGATAGTTATCTCTTGGCCGAAATCGTGTGACATTGTAAATGGCCAGGAATAAGCGACCCAGTTAGCAGCTCTTCCAGTGCTTACCGTACACCCAATTTGCTGACATGCGCCAATTCCCATTCCCGCTAACTGCAACAAAGTCAAAAACAGCGAAAAGGTGTCAGACATCCAGTCCGGATCCAGTTGGTGGACTCTTAATCATCCAACCGTACAGGACAAATGCCATGCACGACTTCATTATTAGGCCGCCTCATATGCACATCATAGTCTGGAGCTCGTGACGCGGAGTCCAGATTGAGGGGTCTGGCCTGGCAGAAGGCCTTCTGATTAGTTTTCCCTCTCGTCCGAGAGCAGACACGAAAATGTCCCTCAAATTTGTTTGTCAACCTAGCCTTGCAGAGGTTCGGAATCCAGGAGGGGCCATTAAATTCCACCGGGCCGTTGGGCTGCTGGATGTTGGGCTGTTGGCTGTCGCTAATGAAGTCATAAAACCGCATGACATTTCGATGCCTCCGGCAATGGCCTCGCGGATCTCGCTTTTTGTCAGACGATCTCCTTGTCATTGGTTGTACCCAGCTGTCTGTGGTGGTGTCTGCTGTCCGGCCAGTTCAATCGTTCCAATATGCAAATGCCCATTCGCCCGCCGCCACCCACAGACAGCCTTAAAAGCCGAAAGAGGAAAACAAGAGTCGGAGCTCTATATGACCATATGCTCGTATCGAGCCCAAAATCTTTCGCTTTCGATTGCCTTCCATCCGAAGCATTTTAGCCCGACTTGAGCCGGGCCAAGTCGCCCCAACTAAGCCGGGCCTTATCTCCGCTGCGAGCTGATTTCTGCATTTCATTTCGCTCCGCCGCACCGCTCCTCTCCGGCCCCACCCGGCCCGGCTTCGTGCTGAAAATATGCAAAAATGCTGCAATCTGCGGACAGCACGTTCGGAGGGCCTTTCGTGTCATAAATGGCATAAATATTCCTTCTTGACCGGGCAACCTAAATATTTTTGCCTCTGCAGATGCTGCTGCCAGTGATGGCTTTGCTGATTTTTCGATTTTTCGTTTTTACTTGGTGTCCCTCGGCCTTTCCCCTTGCAAAATGCATTTTATAACAATGCGAACTTTCACTTTTTTTCGGGGCCCGCCAGATCTCCACGGAAATTGAAATTAAATCGTTTTTCATTTTTATGTGTTGGAGGATTATTGATGTTCGATTTCTGGGTCCGGGATTACAGTCTCCATTCAGGAGGATGGGAAACGATAACTTGAGATTAAAATATAGTTATGATTATTGCATTCGACCCCAAGTAGGACCCTCTCCCCAAATAAAAGAAAGCCAGCTGAATTTGCATATGATTTCGCATGTTTTTATTTTGTATTTTGCATTTGTTGTGCCTAAATTATTTATGCACAGTTTAATGAATTCGTTTATGAAAACTATCATGTATTTTCTTCTTGTTGTTTTGTTTACATTTCCACGTAATTAGTTGGCTAATCTAAACATTGGAACATTTTGAGTTGCTTGTAGTGAATTTCTGCATACTTCCGCATTAGTTATTATTTATTTGATGTTTGAGTTTTTAATTGTAAATGCTAATTACGATTATTGTGTGACAGGGGGGGTGACAGAGGGAAGGAGAGGAGTTGGTGCCTTTAATGAATAAATATTTAAAATACAATATTGCAGTTGTTCTTTCATCTCGTAAAACTAATAAATGCCGACCCGACACGCATTCGGTTGGAGAATTAATTAACTGGCTTAATCATAATTTCCCATTTAATCGTTTGTACATAGCGACGTTGTGACTTAAATGACTAGTCTTTGGTTGTGAGTGTTTTTGTCGTAACTCGTAATTGTAATTCGTAATTGTTAAATGAAAACTTGAACTTTACGTTTGTGTTGAAGAGGAATGTTTTGTTTCATGTTTGTTGTATTGTTTTTCTCCTCGGCTATCGAATCGAAAAAATGCAATATTATGTTGGAGAAGAAACTTTCAGTGGCACGCTTCCCCAGGCAATTGCCAATTGGAGCGGATTGCAAAATATATTTACAGTGTATATACAATGGCGCGAGTTTTTCATAATTCTGCTTTTTCATAATTTTACTTTTTACGTTTTTACTTTCACATTTAAGTTTATGCAAATGTTTGATTGTTTTAAGTACTTTTTTGTTGGCTGCTGGCTGTTGAGTTAATGTTTGATATGCTTGTCATGAGTTTGTTATTACGAGTACCTATTTAAAAATGCAAATGCTATTAGATGCTTGAGCTCATAATTTGATTAATGATTAAAGAGATGATTTTGCGAGTTTTATTCTGTAGCTTAGTTTTTGTTTTTTGTGCCGGCTGGACTTCAATTTGCGCTTCAACATGCTTAGATTTCGTTTCGGTTTGCCTGGCCAGGGCCGTCCAGAACCAATTTGCTCTCGTCATTATGGGGGACAAGGGCGGAATGAAGTGAAAAGCCACAAAGCTGCGGTCCAATGCCTGTCTCAAATCCATTTTCCCCGAACACCACGCCACATCCATAGCATGCCCACAACAGCTTAGCCGAAAATGTCTATTTAAACAAAAAACAAGTGGGAAATGTATAGGATCTTGTGTGAATGGGTATTCGAGGGTATATGCCTCCGACTCTCACAATGGCATACTTGTCTTCCCAATAGTGTGACCCATCCTGGCATGCCCCGAAACAAGTTGCGAGGACGCTCCGATTTAAACTTGTGGCATCATCGGCAGTTGCCAGTTGGGTGCAAACAGAAAGCACGCCCTTTATTTGCTTTAATCCGACAAAATCCCAGTTCTAATGCCGAGCGGCAATAAAAGATAAAACGTGGCTGGCATGTAAAGAGCATGTGCCCGGGTATCTGGAATGTGCCACATACCACAGCCATGCCACCTAACCCTCTCACTGCCTCCCGCCGTCCTGTCTGGTTCGATAGTTTGCGAAACGGAAACGGAAGTGACACTAAATTCGTTTCGGTTTTCCCAATTGGAAACACAGACACAGCCACAGCCGCACACACACTCAGGCAGTGAGACAGGAGGAGTCCTTGGATGAACTGGCAAAAATAAACTTCACAAAATTGTTACGTGTAATCCCCTTTATGATCTGCACCGCCCATGTGCGCTGCATCTTAAGTGGGCTCAGGAAGCATTCCCTTTCTCCATCACTGCTCCCAGATCCAGGAGCAGTCCTGGCCCGGCTCTCAGCTGGCTATCACCATTGTGGCTGTGGCAGCAGCTGGTGGCCAGTGGTTGCCCGGCCCACTGCCGGCACTGGTGGCTCCTCCCCCGTCCAGTGGTGGCAGGGGCGACGATCCCGCCGTGGACAAGGAGCTGCTGCTGTTCGCGGAGTGGAGGTCCTGTGGCTGGTGGTACTCCGGCTCCTCGTAGGCCGCGTCCTCGTCGCAGTCGAGCGGGTACAGCGGCACATGGTGGTGCGTGGGGTGCTGGTGGTGGTGGGAGTGCGTATGGGTGTGGTGCACATGCTGCTGCTGCTGTTGGTATGGATGGAAGTAGTGGTTTGTCGGATGCTGCTGCTGCAGATGCTGCTGGTGCTGTGGGGCAGGTGGCGAGACGGACGCAGGCGATACTCCTCCCGACGGCGGGTGGGGCAGGGGCAGAGGCAGTGGGTGCAGGCCCCGTATACTGTCTGCAGGGTGGGCTGTGTAGATATTGCTCCTCCTCAGGTGGTTGTTGTTTATGGTGCTGCTGCTGCCACTGTGGTGGTTCAGGTGGTGGTTGAGGTGAGCGCCTCCAGCAGCTCCAGCCGCACCACCGGCCACGCCCGCACCATTCAGTCCGTTGCCGTGGGCGCGCTTGTTCCGAGACCACCACTGCACGTGCGTGTCTGTAGGTTCGGAGTTTCCCGAGTGGAGTGGAAGTGGAGGAGCCGGTGGAGGAGATGCCGCAGAAGAACAGCCATCGGGTTCCGGAAAAGAGCAGAGAAAAAGGGGGAAATGTTGGTGAGACACAGTTGCGAAAACAGTCGCCGAATGTTGTGAGAGTCAACACAGATAGAGGCCTGGTAATGGCCAAAATCAAGGACAGTGGGACGCGCAGAAAAGAGTGCAAAGCTATAAAATATTCTATATCAAATAAATTTAGTAGCACTTTTTCGAGCTCTTCCCACTGTCTTCACCATGTTTTCTCATCCGCCCACTGTTGGGCATGTTGGCCATGTTCCATGTATTGGCCATGTGTGTACTCACCGTTGCGATTGTTTGAGGACTTTTTGCGCCGGCAGCGCACCACAGCAATCATGATGATGGCGCCTAGCAGCGCCGACAACACGGACACGATGATCAACGTCAGCGGCCAGCCCAGTTCCGTGGCCTTTTCTGCAAAAACGGAGATACGCCAAAAGCGTAACGGTTAGTAACGGGTAGTAGCATGTCCCTCAGCCTCCAACCTCCAATACTATGCAGTGGGAAAATGAGGTCTGGGCCCCGATACCAGGATGTATATGTTTCCCCCTGATTTCCCCCATAAGCTCCCCCTGTGCACTTTAGCTTTGCATTCGCACTCACCTATCGTGCCCTCGAACATGAATGTGCTCTTGGTGGGCATCGCCCAGGAGCATAAATCACATGTGGTCAGGCCGTCGCTCAGCACCGGCTCGTCGACGAAGAAAGGGGGGCGTGGCGGGGGCGGCACGAAGCGACCGTTCCAGAGGCCCTGCTCGCTGGCGTCGAAGGCCATCGGGGAGCCAAACAAGTCGTCATCGTCGTCGAAGATGTCGAATGTCACGTCGCCGAAGCTGCTTAAGTCCTCCGCCGACGAGCTGGCCACCAGGCTCTCAATCCGCGGCGGACTGAACGTGGGGAACGCCGATCCGGATGCGGACTCGGGTGCGGAGACGGCGGCGGATACGGATACAGATACGGATGCAACTTGATTTACAACGTAACTGAGACGCACATCGTTGCCACCGCCATCGCGGCTGTTATTTCCTACGGATGGCATTTTCCTTGAGTTTTCCGGGATGTGCAATGGGTTGCCTCGGGGATGGGTTGGGGCGGAGGGGTGCGCTCCGGGATGTAATCCTTTGACTCTCCTCGATTGCCAGTTATCGCCTCGTGTCTATTGCAGCTCCTCTTTGGCTGGCATCATGGTGAAGGGATTTTCGCCGGCTCCGGATTCTGCTATTCTGTTTTGTTTGTCTTTCTACGGTTCTCTGTAAGGAAAATGCAAACGGAAGAAGCAAGTTAGTTTTGCCAATTAAAGTCTTAATTGTGCTGTCAGTATTTGCGCATTTCTCCACTTGAGCGAGGAGAAAGCTTTCACATTTTTCAGGCTATGTACGGAGAGTATATCTTCGTTTCGCAGCAAAGTCGACTCGTCTATTTCTAGTGCTAATCCTGTCGAGCTAACATGCCCCCTCGAATGCCAGACTCATGTCAGCAATCGTTTCTCAATGACTTTTTCTACCTATTTCCAATTTGTTACCCCCAGCCCCATCCACAGGCCCACCTCCTCAAAGCTGACTGCCTGTTGTATCTTTTCGGCTGGAAATTGAATTTTTGAACAGCAATGCCAACGCTATCTGCCAGATACTCGTACTCCGAGTAGCTGAAGCCACTCGGCACAGCTACACATAGGACATCACACATGGCAGCCACTGCTAACGAGAATTGACAGCTTGACAGTTCGATATCAGGATGGAAGTCAGCATTAGTTACATTCCCAAGTCCTGAGTCCTGGGTCCTCAATTCTGGGCTCAGGCTTGTGAGCGAGATCCCAAATTTGCTTTATTAAAAAGCATCATCCATTGTGTTCTGCAATCAACGCAGATACCCTCTCTACAAACTCGATTTGCGAGGCAATAATCCTGATAAATTAGCCCTAATTTGCAAGCGCCAGGACCAGGAGCAGGAGCAGGAGAAATGCTAATCGGCAGGTGAAAATGAAGGGGCGTCAGAGCACTCCAGTTCGTTAGTTGGAGGCTCCTGCCAGTCCAAAGCCAAATAAATCTGTTTCACTCCAGTTGCCAGCCCTTTCACGAGAGGAGCTCCTTCTGCCTTTCAGCCTTTTGGCAGAACTCTCTTTTCGAACCGTTACCAACCCATCAGTGGCCGACACGTTTCGGGCATTAGCCGCACTGGCTGCCGAAATTTTCAACGCTTTCCGCAGCGGGGAAAAATGGAAATGCATTTCGGGTTAAGCCCCAAAAAAACCAGTTAAAATATTATAAACTTCCTACACGGGGAAAATCTATTTGTCACTAGAGGAACTATCTTTTAAAGAGGAACTAGAAACCGTACTTTAAGAATTGTTCTATTTTGCTATTCCATATTATTTTTATTATTTTGAGAGTAGCGCCATTTTCTGGCTGTGTAGCCTTTCCACTTGGCATGCGCTTAATTAAAGCTATATGTACAACGGATATTTGTATAAAGAAATATTAAAATGTATCCACTTTTCCGAGGAAAGTTTTATTGCACTTGCTCAAATAATACTTCATATGCAGAAATGCATCCGAGTAGCACGGGCTGTGGCGAGGGTCGAGCGAAAAGTAAGCGATATTTAGTCATTCTTGAAAATGAGAAAACGTGAGGCGCATAAATTGACGCGAATCCCGGCCCAGGCCCCAGCCCGGAGAACCGGCAGAAAACTGAACTTCCTTCACGCAAACGAAATTGCGAATCCAACTGCGAACTGCGACTGCGAATCTTTGGCTTTTTTTGAATGAATGAACAGGCCAGAGAGTTGGGGGGCCAACTGGCTGTGTGGGTGGCGGCAATTCCTCTTCTTTTGCGCTGACTGGGGCTATTAATAAATTTATTTTCGCTGCATGCTTGAAATAAATTGTGGAGTCACGTGAGTCGAGCTCTGAGCTCAGAGCTCTTTGATTTGCCTTTGATGGCAAAGTGGCAGAGTGGCGGAGGCACTCTGGAGCTGTGTCTTTGGCAATACGGCGACAGCTGTCAGCTGCCAGTGCGTGGGCTCTACTCCTCCCGACTTCCCTCAATCCTCGATTCACAATTCCCAATTGAATGTCCAAAAACGCGTCTTCAGTTTCAATCGGTTTTGCGTGGAAACGTGCCTGCCGGCGGCTTCCTCTGTTTGCCAATGGAATATGGGGGCGGGCACCGCTGGTACTGAGCACCACCCACCCACACCACCCGTGCACCATCCAGCTCACAGCAAATAAACAAACAAGAAACGCCCGACTCCGGGAAATGAAAAGAAACAATTCTGCTCGTTCATCAATAACCGTAGAATGAACAACAATTGATGCTCGCACTTTCACACATCGACGGGTTGGGGAAAAGCAATTACACATGTCCTATATAGTACACATGTCCTGGCAGCATCGATTCAATATTTATATTTCCGTTCTGCTCCCCTTCCTTCTCTGCCCTGCCCTTGTCCTGCTTTTTTAATTAGTGCGAAATGTTTGAACATTATTTTCATTTATATTTCTGGCGCACTCGTATTTGCCCTCAAATATGAAAAGCCTGTGGAAATTAATATTTTAGCCGAACAAGGCCAGAGCAAGAGGGGAGCCGGGAAAGTTTCAAATGCACTTTAACCCCCCGCGCTACAGAGAGTTGCCAAAATGAGTATTATGAGCTGGCATTTGAATTAACTCGGCTTTAACCCATCCCTCCGACAACTTAATTACCTAAATATGGTATGTATGGTGTGTGGGAAGGCTCGCCGGGGCGCCCGCCCACTGGAGCCGTAAAATGTATGTTTCAATTGAATGCGGATAAATGAAAAATGTTGCCGAGCATTTAATTATAGGCTATAATCTGGGGAATTATTCATTGAATTTAAACGAAATCCTCTGACATGAGCAGAGAATAAATAAAATGCAAACGAATTTAAAGGCAATATTTGAGCTGCAAAAGGTCAGTGTAAGGGAATGTGTTTGCTTTCATCTTTAAGCCCGAAATGCCAGAGTCTGTCAGGAAAAACGCCCATCAGAAAGAGAGAGAGTTCTATTTGTTTTACGGCATCCTTAAAGTCAAAGTGTCAGGCACGGATATTCCTGGCAGGGCAGGACGTGTCTGGCATTTCTGGCTCGAAACGAAAAACGAAAATAAATGTTGTCGAGGCAACGACATAATTTGCACTAATAATAAAGAGGAAATTGCTGGCCAGGTCCTGAACTTTAGGCCATGTATCGCACTTGGTCAAGAGTGTGTGGTAGGTAATGCACACACACAATAATTGAGTTACTAGGCCGGAGGGCAAAAAATCATTTCAGCTCGAATTCCTATGCATGAAAATTGAAATTTTATTCAAATGCCCGACAGAAGTACTCAGAGAGCCAGATAAAAGCGACAGCTTTTCTTGGATTTACATAAATTATGAGGACGAGAAACAAAACGCGGCCATCGATCCATGTTCGAGTGCACTTTGGTTGGGAAGAAGCGAGATCTGGGCTCAAGCAAATTAGTTGATTTGTATGCGCGACCGAACGAAATGAAAACTAATAGAGTTGTATAACGAGTTGCGGCCGGGGGGCCCTGAGCCGGGAAAACTGGAAACTGGGCTCTGAAAAACCGCAGTCTGGAGATATTTTATTTTGTGTAGTCCGGTCTTTATTTTCTGTTTATGCGACCCATCGGCAGCTGATAAACTTGGCGTTTTATTGCCAATTCAAATTCAAATAGAAACCATCGAACGTGAAACCTGCGCCCTGGAATTTCTTTGTGGGATCTTCGATTCGTTACGATCGATCGATAGATGGATCGATTTTGAAATTACCAAACACATATGCATAACCCTAATGAAGCTGCGATTAGATTAGAGATTTCGTTTTACAACGGTCTGGTGGGATAAGAAGACCATTGTTGAGGACTTGAGAAATGCTGGCCAGATAAGGCCCTCAAATGGAACGAACATTTCTATTTTCGGGGATGGCAGTTAAGATTAGAGGCAGCTAACGATGCTGGTTTTCTCGAAAAAGAGTTCCAAACAAATTGTGAAGAGTTTATGGCTCCGTTAAGGATTCAAGTTCGAGATAAATAAATTGAAAAACTGTTTCTGTTAAGAGATAAGTAAGAGATGCAGCTACTCGTAAAAATTTCCCCCTCGCGCCCAGATTTCAGCAACAAAAGTGAACAGCAGACTGACGGGTATTGTCTTAAGCCCCGAAAACCAACTAGTTAATGCTGTCTTGGCTTATGTCAAAATTGATGAAGCCGCCTTCCCCCCCAGCTCAGCACCCTTTGTATCCCGTGAAAATGCCGTAAAGCAGACTGCCAAACAAAAGCCAAGAGATTCGAGCTGCCAGTTCCCGGCAGCTCCTTTGCGTCTTTCCGTCTCACAAAATCAAAACTGACTGAACCACACACAGCGTGTGGGAGCAGCTCCCTGGATGCTTGGTGCTGGGATGCTTGACTGCTCCGTTCCCAGATTCATAATTTTCGACAAACAAATCGCTTTATAATCCCTTTTCAAACACACTCACTTGGCTTCGTTCTAATCCCGAGCTGTCAATAAGACATTAATGCCCCGGCTTCGGGGGAGACCGAGTGTCTTGGGTTTTCCGGAGGTACGAGGGTGTGAGGCGACGATCGAGTTACAAAACGCATTCCGTTGAAAGAAAAAGGATGAGTTGGCCTTTGCCAAGAATACCTAACACACTCTTGAGATTTTCCCCGCAGGCACTTGAAATATTTAGGGTTGAGCTCGCTGCATATTTACGATATATTTTTGTATAAAATTTAATTTCCACTTGCAGCTGGCCCCGGCACCTAACAGAAAAGTTATGACTCCAAGGACTCCCACCCCGGGAATTTTCATTTCTTTCATTTCTGCTGCCAAGTGTCTAATGCAATTTGCCAGCGAACAAACTCAATAAAGGCTGCCCTGCTGCCAGCTCGGCGGGGCTTTAGAATTTTCTGCGGGAGGAGCTGGTGTCGGAGCTGTAGCTGGAGTCGGTGCAGGATGGTTGATAGATTCGCCCGGGCTGCCGCGGGCCACACACGCGCAGAAAGGAATAGAAGCCCTGGCTCGAGCCCGGCTCTCTGCTCACCTTTGGCTCATGCCACTTTGCTTTTCGCAATCATTTTTCTTGCCGGCAGCACCAGCAGCAGGAAGGCGAGGCAGTGGAAGCTCGTTAAAGCTAACTCGCTGCTAGATAAGTTGCCCGAGAGTTCCCTATACGGACCCTTCACTGTAGATGCCAACGACTTGGCCTGCAGCCACAAGTCCATCCAT